TTTTTTTTTTTTTTTTTTTTTTTTTTGGTACTGGGGATCAAACTTGGAACCTTGCACTTGTGAAGCAGGTGGCAAAACTACTGAGCTAAATCCCTGGCCCCCTTTTGGGTCATTTTTAAAATTTAAATTAAAATGGCACTGGACTGAAGATTTAGCTTAGTGGGCCAAGCCTGCCAATAAGCACTATGTCCTGAGTTTGACCCTCCGTACCCGGGAAAAAAAGAAAATTAAACTGACAAAAGTTGGGGTATGTGTAACAATAGCCTAAAAAGGATTTAAGGAAATCCAGTGAATCCAAAACTAGCCCTTTTATGGCACTTGGCTTTCCTCTGCCTCTTAATATCTTCTCTGGGCCCTGGGAAAAGGTGAGTTTATTAATTATTAATTATGCTTTTACCATGTAACTAATTGTGCCATATATCTCACCAGTTAAATAAAAATTCTGAATTTCTCACCAGCAAAGTAAAAAAAAAAGTTGATTGATTTTGTGTGTGTGTGTGTGTGTGTGTGTTTTCTTGGACAATACTAAGGATTGAACCAGGGAGTGCTGGGCTATACCCCTCCCTATCCCTTTTTATTTTATTCTCTTTTTTTTTGTCCTAGGGTTCAAGGGTCTTTGCACTTTCAAGGCAGGTGGTGGAACCACTGAGCTATATCCCCAGCCTTCCTTTTTATTTTATTTTGAGATGGGGGGTCTCTATAAGTTGCCAAGGCAAGACTAAAACTTGCAATCCTCCTGCCTCAGCTTCCTGAGTGACTGGGATTATAGACATGTTTTATCATTCTTAGCAATTTGGTCATTTTTTTTTCATACCAGAAATCAAACTCAGAACCCTATATTCCTAGCCCAGTTCGGTCATTTTTGAACATTTAAGTTTGCTGCTATATTGAGTATATAGAAATACAAATGTTTCAAATACATCTTTCCTTATTGTTTAATTGAGAATTAAAATAATTTTCAAGTAAAACTATTCAAACAAAAAAGCTAAGCCCTCTTCCCTTTAAGCCTTCCATCAAAATATCCCAAACCAGAAATGTTTTCAATATAAACTTAATTCATGCATAATCTTTATGCAAACATGGAAGCAGAGAAAAGTTAAATTTTTCTTCCTTTTTTGAGGGGGTGACTGGGGAAATTTTG